AGTTATTCCCAACAGCAGGGCCTGCTGGGTTTCAATCTCTAGGGCTGGGGCTGGCTCGCGGGGACTTGCAGCCTTCAAAATCCGGAATGGAACCCTGGAACCCTGAAACCTTGGAACCCCGGAACCCTAAAACCCTGGAACCCCGGAACCCTGGAACCCTGAAACCCTGGAACCTTGGAACCCTGGAACCCTGGAACCCTGAAACCTTGGGACCGTGGGACCCTGGTACCCTGGAACCCTGAAACCTTGGAACCCCGGAACCCTAAAACCCTGGAACCCCGGAACCCTGGAACCCTGAAACCCTGGAACCTTGGAACCCTGCGACCGTGGAACCCTGAAACCTTGGAACCTTGGCACCCAGGAACCCTCAAGGATTCTGGAACCCTGCTACCTTGGAACCCTGGAACCTTGGAACCCTGCAACCCTGCACACCTGGCACCCTGCTGGGATCCTGGAACCCTGAAACCCTGGAACCCTTGGAACCCTTGGAACCCTTGGAACCCTTGGAACCCTTGGAACCCTGGAAACCTTGGAACCCTGAAACCGTGGGACCCTGGTACCCTGGAACCTTGGAACCCTTGAAACCCTAAAACTTCCAAACCCTAAACTCTATGCGCGCTGCGCGCGCTGCATGCAATAAAGTAAACCCTAAAACTTCCAAACCCTAAACCCTAATGCGCGGTGCGCGCGCTGTGTCCCAGAGAAGTAAACCCTAAAATTTCCAAACCCTAAACCATCGTGTTATGCAACTTCCAAACCCTAAAGTTTAACCCGCGGTGTGCGCGCTGCATGCAATAAAATACACCCTAAAACTTCCAAACCCTAAACCCTAATGCGTGCTGTGCGCGCTGCGTGCCAGAGATAAACCCTAAAACCTTCAAACCCTAAACACTAATGCGCGCTGCGCGCGCTTTGTGCAATAGAAATAAACCCTAAAATCTTCAAACCTGAAACTCTCGTGTCATAGAGGTAAACCCTAAAACTTCGAAACCCTAAAGTTCAACCCACGCTGTGCACGCTGCATGCAATAAAATAATCTATAAAACTTCCAAACCCTAAACCCTAATGCGCGCTGCGCGCACTGCGTGCCACACACATAAACCCTAAAACTTTCAAACTTTAAACCGCAACGCGTCCTGCGCGCACAGCCTGCCATAGAGGTAAACGGTTAAACTTTCAAACGCTGCGTGCCATAGAGGCAAAGCCTAAAACTTTCAAACGCTAAACCGTAAAGCAGGCTGCGCGCGCTGCGTGCCATAGAGTGCTCAAAAGTGATTACATGTCATACTTTAGTGGCATCCTCCAAATTCATTAGTCAGCCTTTGTTAATCCAGGGCCCATTTTACACATGTCATCTTCTTGGTCGTGGCGCCATTTCAGGATCACACTGATGACCTAAGCTTTGGCCTTAACTATTATGCAGGCAAGCGACATCAGCACGCTATGGTATTGGAAGACACAGGGTTTGCCCGTAGACCAGCCAAAAAATCGATTTTCCACACTGAACAATTGCATTTAACACATTTAGAATAGGAGCTCCGCCTGATTCAGATTTCATCACTTAAAAGGTACCCATGCCTGACTAGCCTTCATGACTTAAAGCGTAACCACACCCGACTTAAGGGAACCATGCCTGACTATCCTTCATAATTAAGAGGTACCCACCCACGCCTGACTTAACAGAACCCATGCCTGACTAGCCTTCATAATTAAAAGGTACCCATGCCCCTGAATTCAGGGAACCATGCCTGACTAGCCTTCACAATTAAAAGGTACCCACTGGAACCATGCCTGACTAGCCTTAATGACTTAAAAGGTAACTACACCTGACTTAATACCTGATTTACTGGTTTTGCCTGATTTTGGAAAAACGCAGAGCCGGAATTTGCAGGGCGCGGGCCGGAATTTGCCGGGCCCGGGCCGGAATTTGCCGGGCTGGGATTTTGGGGTCGTGCCTAAATAGGATTTTTGCAAAAATCGTGCATGACTGAAGGGAACCATGCCTGACTAAACATCATACCAATCATCCCAAAAGAATCCAATAATTCCAGCAAGTGATGCCTGACCAATCCCTGCGTCATAAAAAACCGTCTGCCCCTCCCCACCCAATAATGAACACACGGAATAGTTTTTGTATCTAGTGGGTATTTAGTATGAGGGTGCGAAACTTCCCCTTTGGTTAAAAAAACTAAATTGGAAAACATTTTTTAAATAACATCTAACTAAAATATTGCCAAAATTGGATTCCGAAGCTTCCCCCTGACATTAAATTGAAAACATTCGTTTAAAAAATGAACTTTATATTTCAAAACCGATTGAATTCCTATTCAAAATCTAACTCAAATCTTGCCAAATTGGATTTCGAAGCTTCCCCTTATATTAAATTGAAAACCTTACTAATCCCCACCTCCTTTTACTAAACGTACCCTAAATACTGAAATATTACATTGATTCCTTTTACTAGGGTCCGCGTTAAATTTTGGGAAATTTCAGGCTGGCCAGTTTGACTTTTAATTGATACCTTTTCAAAAACAAATTAAACATGAAGGTCCCATTTCAGGATTTCACCACCAAAAAATAAAAACTAGTCAGCCCCGGTGATTTTTTAAACTAGGGTCTTTTAAGGTCGAAAAAAATAAGTATTTTATATTACAACGTTTATATAATATTGGGGGAAAACTTCGAAATCCACTTTTTGGCATTTCCTGGCAATATTTTTGCTGGATGTCAAAAGGAAATCTAATCGATTCTTGAAATCGAAAAAACATAGTTTTTTTTTTTACTAGTGTTTTTAATTTAATCTTAGGGGAAAACTTCGAAATCCAATTTTTAGCAATATCTTAATTATATGTCAAACAGAAAACTAATCGATTTTGAAACAGTTTTTTTTAAATATATTAGGGCTGGTAATTTAATATTAGAGGAAACATTTCGAAATCCGGTTTTTGTTTTTATTTTTGTTACTACAATTTAAAAGGAAATCGAATCGATTTCAAAAAGAAAAAATAATATTTTATATTAGGGTTTTTTAATGTAATATTAGGGGAAAACTTCAAAATCCAATTTTTGACCATATTCTAATTAGATTTCAAAAGGAAATCTAATGAATTTTGATATAGAAAAAATAGTCTTTGATATGAGGGTTTAATATGAGGGGAAAGCTTCGAAATCCAATTTCTGGCAATATCTTAATTTGAATTTACAAGGAAATCTAATCGATTCTGAAATAGAACAAATTTAGTTTTTTTTTTATATTGGAATTTTTCATGCAAGATTAGGGGAAGCATCGAAATCCAATTTTTGAACATATTTTAATAATTGGATTTTAATTTGATATTAGGGGAAAGCTTCAAAATCAATTTTGTTTTTTTCATTAGATTTCAAAAGGAAATCTAATCGATTTTGAAACAGGAAAAAAAACAAAATGATATTAGGGTTTAATATAAGGGAAAAGCTTCGACATCCAATTTTTTGGCCATATTTTATTTAATTTTTAAAAGCAAATCTAATCGATTTCGAAATAGAAAAACATACATAGTTTTTTTATGTTGGGGTTTTTTATTTGATATTAAGCTTCGGAATCCACTTGTTTGCCATATTTTAATTGGATTTAAAAAGAAAGAAATCTGATCGATTTTGAAATAGAAATATGTATATATATATATATGTGTGTGTTTTTTATCAGTATTAGGGGGAAGCTTCGTACCCTAATACTAAAGACCCCCCCAATACTAAAAACTCCTCCAGGTGTTTGTTATTTGGGTGGGTGGGTGAAGGGGCGACTGTTTAGCAACAGGGGGAAGGGATTAAACCGTTTTTTGTTTCTAATTTCAAAATCCATGAAAATAATCTTTAAATAGAATACTGCCAAGAATAGGATTTCAAAGCTTTCGCCTAGTATCAAATAAAACACCAACACCTGAATTAAAAAAACTAAAATTGACGATTTTAAAGGACGGACCCCAATAAAAGACACCCCGGTGTTGACTAGTTTTTTATTCTTTGGGGGTGAAACCCTCACATGGTACCTTCATTTTTAAAATTGTTTCCTCAAGGGGATCAATTAAAAATCAGATGAACCAATTTGACATTTCCCAAAATTGGAAATCGCACCTAGTTTTTGTCATTTGGGGGTATTTTTCGTAATAGGGAGAAAGGATTAGCAAAAAGAATGCCTGATCAAAATGATGCTGATTCTGCGTGTTACAATCTTTTTGCCCACTACAGTGTCTACAGGGTTACAAGGGATGGCGTGCCAGCTAGAGTCCCAAGTCCATTCAACCAACACCCTAATCGATGAAGTTGGACTTGTTGAAATGGAACTGGGACTGGACCAGTTGACATGGGGCGATGCTGACCTTCAACGGGACCTTCGGCGCCTGAAGGACAACAGTTTGAAAATTCCGAACCTGAAATATATTTTCAAAATTGCCTTACTAAGAGTGATCCCCACCCTGACGCACTATTCTGACATAGTTTCTGACATATCATCTGGACGTATATGTGGCATATACGTTCTGACATACTATCTTACATTCTTTTCTGAGATTCTATTTGACATTCTTTCTGGCATCCTATCTGGCATCTATTCTGACATACTTTCTGGAATATACTATATTCTGATCCTGCCTTGCCATGAGGTTGGGCTGGGAGTGCTTTTATTTGCGTGGATCAATGCCAATGGCTTGAATATCCACCAAATGTTGGTTTCACATGTTTGCACCCAATGATTGCCATTACCATTGATACCCCAAAATGGCCAGGTCCTGAATTTGTGAAAAGTTTTCTGGGTACTGAAAAAACAGGACTTTGGCACAGGGTCTGAAAAAAGACGTAGGTGGAAGATTCAGGTATGCTGTTGGGTTGCAAAGCTGGGTTAATAACTACTAAGAAAACCACATTTATAGAATGTATAATCGCAGTTATAACCAGTTATAACTAATTTTTATGGTCATCACTGTCGGTACCTCGGGTGTTGGTCGATCAAAAAAAAGCGCCAGGTGCACCACGTTGAAACGGCCGCGCCATTTCAGCTGGGCAGCGAGTCGCCGAAACTTGGCTGACCATCACCCGTTAATGTTAAGGTGAATGAATAGTAATTGATCCCCCAAAAAAATGAATAATTATAGTTTGTATTTGTTTATATATGTATACATCTTATATATATATATATATATGTATATGACATTGCATCACTATTTTGGGATTTTACTTTTCCATCTACTTGGAGATTACAAGGGCCTCTTACAAGGGCTATTTGAACTGACTGGTGTCATCAAACATGGCTGGGAAATCCCCGAACTCCATCGATTGATGGCCATGGCCAACTGGAAAATCATCGAACTGGCCATTGGTTGGTTTTCCAGCAAGCCATGTTACCGGCAGGTATCCCAAAACGGTCTGAAATTTCTGCGAACGAAGCCAGCCTTATATCAGAATCAGCCTGGCCACGCAACGCGTTGGCAAAACCCAGCAGAACGCACAACGTTTAATGTTGAGGGTTTGGAAAGCCAGGCTGGTGACAAAAACCGCTCCGGTAAAAATGGAGAAAGGTGAGGTGAGTGGAAGTTGCTGGAAAGGAATATGGCACTGAAAGATTTTCGACGAAAGAATTCCATTAAAGTCACCGATAGGCAAGCCATTGTTGACTGACACCAACGTTCGGATGCTGCCACACTTGCAAAGCAAATTGAACAGGATTTGCAGTGTAGACAACTTTATTGACTACAAAACTACAAACCAACATGTTTTTTCGCACACATCCATCTACCGCCGTCTTCTTTAAACTAGCTCTAGCTGCCTGATGCCCAGTATTATCTCCATGCATTTTTGCTAGTTTAATAGCATTCCAGTTATGTTATGAATAAACAGAAGAAACACGCACCCGACAAGAAAGACGTTGAAGCTTATATCCCACTATATCATTATTATATCCCAATCTTTGGTGGTTGCTTTCCCACTGATTCTTTTGCTAATGGAAATGTGGCTCTATATCCATTATTTGGCATATGGTTTCGACTTATATCCTGAACATTCCTGAACCCATCACCCACTAAAGAATTTACTATTTTCCATCATTGTTATTGGGTGACGTTGTTTAAAGCAGTTATCCTCTCAACAAGCAGCCCATCGACATCCATTATGAATGTATGTACAATACGTCTACAACGCTCTATAATTCCATCATGGTTCTTGTATAGATCTCACCATTATACCATTGTACTCAGTTACGTGTTTCATGACTTGTTTTGTTTGATCGAGATCAATCAAACAGTCGTACATTTGCATTTTCCTGACCATATATATATATAACATATGTATATATATATATATAACATATATATATATATATTTATTTATTTATAACATACATATGTATATAACATATATATAACATATATATATATATAACATATATATATATAACATATATATATAACATATATATATATACCATATATATAACAAATATATAACATATATATATAACATATATATAACATATATACCATATATATAACAAATATATAACATATACATAACATATACATAACATATATATAACATATATATATATAAATAACTAACATATAAACCATATATATATAACATAGATATATATTTATATAACATATATATATATAACATATATATATATATAACATGTATCTATATATATAACATTGTGTTATATATATGTGTGTGTTATATATATAACATATATATGTTATATATTTATAACACACACATATATATATATAACACATATAATTAATATATATATATATTTACAACACATATATAACATATATATATATATATCACATATATATAACATATATATATATATATATAACACATATAAATATAACACATATATATATATATAACATATATATATATATAACATTTATATATATATATTATTGTATTATATTATGTTTTATTATATTTATTATAAATGTTATTGCATATAAACTTTTGCAATCGAATTGAGGTCTCAGGATCTAGATCGTGGGTCATATATCATCCAAATTTAAGTTTGATTTAATGGGTTCCCTTTCACCCCTTCATGCTCTTGGTAAGTTTCCTGAAATGAACAGAAAGTATTTGCCAGCAGTTGTTTTCACAATTTTCAAGGTTTTCCGCTATGTTTTCAATATACAATTTGCTACAACTTTACTATTGACCTTAAATGGCGAACTGGATTGAAATGGTGGTCTTGGACCTCAACAATAAAAGATGCCATGTGTTGAGGCTTGGATTCGGTTGATACAAAATGAATGTGAATCATATATGTAAAGTTTTTAGTAGATACTTTGGTCCTGATTAGGGTGTCTCTTCAGGCAGCAAATTGTGCTTGACCTTGGTTGGATATAAACTAAAAAAGGCGCTTATGAGGGAACTTCTTCGCCAAGCGCATTTTATATAATTGATGTTTGTATTGGGGCGACGCTACAGATTGGATATGATTGGACAATTGACTTCTTAGTGAAGGAATTTGATTCTTAGTAGTATTATTAGGAACCTCTTCGGCGAGCACATGTTGAATTACGTTCGTATGTCGATATTGTTGATTAACTTTGCATGGTTTTGGTCCAAGTGCTGCTTTCAGATTCCAGGTCCGGGTGTGCGCGGGCCGCTCTTGTATAACAAATGTCGCACTTGTACTACCTTGTGCTAATTGATTAATTAATAACATACAGTTTTACTTCTCAGGGAATTCTACTTATGGGGAGCACTAGGATATGAAGAAATACATGGTTCAATTCAGACCTAACAGTGATGTCCCCAAATCAAATTCAGCTGCCCTATAATCGACTGCAAAAGTTTATATATACATATATTTATATATACCATTTATATATATATTACATATATTCCATATAGATATATATATATATATACATACCATATGTATGTATATATATACATATATTACATATATATATATATCTATATCTCATTCTCGTTTTGATTCCAGAACAACCCCTGCCCAGGAAACCTTCGCCCAATATGTCGCTGGACGATAGCACCGTGGACCCCGAGATGCTGCACGAGGAGCCGACGGCGGCCACGGAAGCACCGGAAACGGAGGCCGTCGCGGCGGTCACGGAGTCGGTGACGCGGTGGCAGGTGGAGAATAACGCACTAATCCAGCCAGTTGTAGAATGTGATGTTTATCCCATTATCCCATTATTATCCCATTCTTATCATCAATAAGATTAACCATTTCTGGGATGATAATGGGATATTATATATTGTATTACTATCATCATTATTTGTTATCCTCCGGTAAATAACATAACTATGGAAAATCACAACGTTTAATGGGAAAATTCACTATAAATTGCCATTTTCAATAGCTATGTTAAATTACCAGAGGGTATGTTGATGGTTTATACCACACAAAAAAATGGTGATTTGGGGGATGGTTTACTATTGTTTTAGCTGACGTCGTCCAATACGGCCCCGGGGAATTTGCTAGTTTTTAATAAACATGGGTTGGGGTGGGGTGGGGTAGGATGTTAACGTTCATGGTACGCTGCTGATGATGTTACGCTGCCCGTTGGGGTTGGGGTGGGGTGGTTCACGCTGATGATGATGTTGTTACGCTGCCCGTTGGGGTTGGGGTGGGGTGGGGTGGGATGTTAACGTTCATGGTACGCTGATGATGTTACGCTGCCCGTTGGGGTTGGGGTGGGGTGGGGGTGGGATGAATATGTATATATATATATGTGTGTGTGTGTGTGTAAACGGCTATCCATTCAAGCCGAAGTTATTCATTTGTCGTCATTCACATGTCGTATTGAGCTTCGATCTTGGAGGCAGTAGCATCTCCCGGATTTCATTTATGTGTGTCAGTTTGGCGAGATTCAGTTTGCGGTAATTAATTTTGCAAGAATTCATTTCTGCGAGCTTTCAGTTTGCGAGATACGAATTTTGATAAATTACGAACCAGTAGCAGGGGGCCAGCGCATGGCATCACGACGCTGGCCAACGAAGCTAGTGATGTCATGGGAAGCAGTTGGAGACGTCCAACTGTGTACCTGCAAAGAAGTTTGAAACTTTTGACAAGCTGTCATCCTTGGTATGTTTTGAGAGTCCTTTGAACTGCAATGTGTGTCATGTTGGCAAGTTCACCCTGTCAGCACGTGTGACGTCCGATCTCGTAAGGCCACTTAGGTTCATCAAGGCGTATACATCTTCATCACCATATCGAATCTCATCGCGTTCCTTACGGAACCATATCTCAGTGTGTGCCTGCCTGCTTGTGTCAGGTTACACACACATATATATAATCATATATATATATGGATATAAATATATTGTATATATACTTGCATATATGCATATAAGAATCAGTGTACATGTCCAAGTATGCAAGGTATGTGTCTATGTCTGGCCTATCATGTATGCAACACGATCCTAACATATTGCTGGCTTCCAAGCGTTTTTTTTCGCTGATTTGCACATGGACTTGTAAAACCCATTGGAAATAGCACAAAATGGACACAAAGTGCTGTAAAACGCAAGGCATTTGAACATGGCGCAAAATCCATGGTGACAGAAAGTGCCATAAGGGTTATCGAAATAGCAAGATGCTTGTTTTCAAAACAAACAAAAACAATGGGACCGCAATGGACGACTTTACCTTGTTTTACCCACATTATAATGGGATTATATGTGGTTATACTTGGGGATTGGGGGTTGTAGTAGGATTAGTATGGATTAGTGGGATAGTGATGGACATGTAGTTCTTTTTTTGGGGGTGAATGGCAGGTGGATTATTGTAATCCAACTTCATTCCGCAAGGAACAAATTGGCACGAATTCCATCTGGTTATTTGTTACATAGCCATGGAAAGATCCACCATGCTATTAAGAACGGTAAACCATCTATTTCAATAGGCCATCTATACCATGGCAAACTGTTAGTCATAACCAGGTTGGGTATCATGGAATTTTCATATTTTGGACAGGGATGGTCAATAACGGGTGAAACTTTCTCGTGGCATGGATGAAAAAATCAAATCATTGAATGGAGGTATATCAAATTTGAAAACAGTGGAAGGGAATAGGCAACAAAGATCAACAAAGTTGCACTGACTGGCAAGTGGCCCATTCTGGCTTACAATTTCATATCATATCTCACATCTGTGTTCTCCCATCACAAAATAATCCCAATGTCATATCCATGAACTTGACAGCCAGTGGGTGAACAAAACGTTCACAGAGTTGGGTATAGTTGGGTGTTGCCTCAGCCGCAGTATCTGTTGGATGATCATTCCTGGTTGGTGGTTTGGAACATGTTTTATTTTTCCATATCTTGGGAATGTCATTATCCCATCTGACGAAGTCATATTTTTCAGAGGGGTTGGTTGAAACCACCAACGGTATTCCAATTGCTATGGGCTTTAGCCATGGCAATAACCCAGGATATGGGGTGAACCACCATTTTGTAGCTGGGAAAATCAACTATTTCAATGGCCATTTTCCATAGCTATTTTGACATAACCAGGTTGGGTAATATGGCACAGGATCATGTTGGGACATCCGATCATGTTTCACAGATTTTTTAAAACCAGATCCTGGCGATCCTTCCATGACCAACAGGAAAAACACAGATAAAACTACTTAGATCATGTTAGATCTAGTTACTTAGCCTGTGTTAGCCTATATTTTCCATTGATCAATGGGCATATCCCAACAAAATATGGTCTTATATGGTACAGTACCTCCATTTTAGGATCCTGAAGATCTCCCATTGAATTGAGTTTCCGGCCGAAAAACACCAAGTCAGTTACCAAGTTGCGCTGTCGCAGTACAGTTTCTCAGGTGAAACACTTGGAGCAGAGAAGCAGTGCTTCTGGGATGCATCAAGAGAGGTTTCAACAACCAGGGGTTTTACCCTCTGGTAAACTGTTACATAACTATGTAAAATCACCATGTTCAATGGGTAAATCCACTATTTCTATGGTCATTTTCAATAGCTATGTTTGACATAACCAGAGAGTAACCATCAAACCTCTCTTTTTCAATCAACCCATGGGAAAGCCGGACATGGCATCTATGGATTGGATGATGATAACTAGAATTTTCTAAGTCCAATAAGCAAAATGTGGTGGGTGATATGATTGGTAAATGATGTTTGGATATGTTTGGTATTTATGATATGATAAAAGGTTTCAAGAGAGGTTGAAACAACCAGGGGGATTTACCCAACCTGGTTATGTCAAAATAGCTATGGAAAATGGCCCAGTCGAAATAGTTGATTTACCTCATTAAACATGGTGATTTTCCATAGTTAAATTACCAGAGGGTAACCATCAAACACACTGTGGATGGGCCAGCGAAATCCTGCACCACTTGATAGATGGTAGACATCCCCTGAAAAAGGGTTTCAACCATCCCTGGTGGTGCAGGATTTCGCTGGCCCAATCACTAGAGTATGGTGATATGATTGGTAAATGATGTTTGGATATGTTTGGTTGATGATTAGGATGATGAGTTTTGGGGAGTTATCATAAGTCGTGAACTGTTCATTTGGAAGTGCATCCCATTTGGGATCTATTGGTTATAACATGTTGTGACATGTTATGACATTATACCCGGAGTGTACCCTATGTAGAAAGGGTATTAAAGGGTCATGGTTAAAATATGGTGATTAGCCATTTACTAACTGGAATCCGCATCCAAGTAAGAAATCGATTTGAGGGTGGGACACTTGGTCAGTTAGAACTACATCAATCGATGCATTTCATTTTATCCTTGTTGGTGGTTTCAAACATGAATTTTGTTGTCAATTTCATAAAAAAGGGATAATCCTTCCTATTGACGAACTCATATTTTTCAAGATTGTTTTTTAACCACCAACCAGTTATCGAGTGGATGCTAGATGCCAAATGTCTATTCCGGTTCCAGCGGTCCATTTCCGGTATAAAAAGGGCTCGGCACCAGGGTTCTCCAAAACCCAAAGCCGATTGGATTTCGGCAATGCTAGTGGGAACTACAGTGATGACCATTTATTAGGTAACTAACTGGTTATTTCACTGGGATGAAAAACATTCTATCGGGTTATAAGTAGATATAACTGGTAAATGGCCGGGTTTTGTTAGTAGTTGTAACTGGTATTTCTGGCCATAACTGTAAACAACATAACTGATCAATTGCTGGTTGATGCTGTACGGTTTTTCTGTATGGTTGAGGCATGAATTTAGAAATGTTTTTTTGGGGCTGGTTGAGTGTAGGAAAAAAAATCATCGACACACATTTCATATGAAATCGGTGGACCAGGTAGATTCGAAATGAGGTTTTCAATCAAGACTGTTTTGCGCATTGGGTAAAGTTTGGGTCCCGGCCCCGGTGTTTTCTTCCCTATGTACTGCAGTCTAGGACTCTAGGATTTCGCTCTATGGCCAAGCAATTCCTGACTACAAAGACGACTTAAAGACGACTAAAAACTGTTAGAATAGCATGTGTTCCAATTAGTTTCATGGAATTTCAGATTGGCAAAAACGGCGGTGTATTTGTCCTTCTTTCCTCTTCGTTGGTTCGGAAAGAGCCACCTTGTTGATGTTGGTTCCCCACAGTGATGACCATTTATTAGTTATAACTGGTTATAACTGGGATTATACATTCTGTAACTGGCCATAACTGCAGCAACCTTGCAGTGACATTGGGACAACAGGAACAGTCACCAGGATCAGATCATGACGCAGATAGGGGCTCCTAGTGCTGTTTTGTTTATTCATCAATTCGCCCCACACTCAAAAAAACATGGTTTTATCCATGTAATATATAATATAATATAATATAATATAATATAATATAATATAATATAATATAATATATATATATATGTTGTACAATATAATATATATATGCTTCATATATACATGCTTTATCAATGTAACACCCCACTTCGGCCAAGTGGTCAAACATATTCTCACGCAAGGAAACCATGAAGTTCCTATGGCCAATAAAACTTGTTCGCTGCAAACCCCACAGTTGCCCGCATCGGATCCGGCATGTCCTTTGACATGCTCAAATCCCTTCATAGGGCTAGCGTTTTTTTTACTTTCCAAAACCTAAAACCCAAAAACCCTAAAAACCTCAACCCTAAATTAAACCCTAATCCTAATTAATTACCTAAAGTCACAATCGCTGCGTATAGCCAGTGTTTTCATTCATCCTTTGGTGACAAGTATATTATATTGTTTGTGTGTGTTATGTGGGTGTGGGCGAACGTGGGGTTTGGAGGGAACTTGTTTTACCATTAAAACAATTGCCAATATTTTGTGTCCACACGTTTTCATTGTTTTCAATATGTTTCTTCTTGTCAAAGCATGTTTTTCAGACCAATCTGCTAATAGTTTACTTTCCTGGGAAATACACCATGACTGGGGAATCTATAGATATCTATAGTGGATATGTCCTTTTTTGGGGATGCCTTAAGCCAAGGCTCGGATGTGTCGGCTGATCTTCGAGGAGTGGTGTCAGCACGTGGCGGGACGCAAGAAAGCGCCCCAGGAGTTGCGGTCCATCATGGATTCCCTGGACTCAGGCGGGGGTTGCCCTGGAGAGTGTCAGCCACTACTAATCATTAGTAACCACTATTACTCATATTTTCCATATTGGGAATAATAACCCCAACTGACTTTCATATTTTTCAGAGGGGTAGGTATACAACCAACCAGTGTAGCATTGTAGTGTCAGCCTTGGAAGAGTAATTTTTGTTATCACACAATGTTCAAAGTTGGTAACCCTATTCGTAAACTCAATCCGGATTATATGTTGACATATTTTGACCAACATTAAAAAGGCTGGACACTGGATTTGAGTACCCTCTGGTAAAGTTACAAAAAACTATGGAAAATCACCATAGAAATAGTGGATTTTCCCATCAAAAATGGTGGATTGTGCCATCGTTTTTTGTATGTTTACCAGGCCGGGTGTTCGTACAGAAATCACAGTTGTTTGACTTCCCACCTTACCCACCATCCACCACTGTTTCAGTTTTCAATCAAGCAAAATGACGGCCGTTGTTCGAGAACGGAGAGCCATCTGAAGTGCATCTTAACACGTAGGCATGTGTCTGGGTAAATTATAACGACCTCAGTGCGACCTCACTGGAATCATGGTTAGTAAGGGAAATCATCCCCAAATGACCTTAATTCAGGTTAGTGAAATATTATAATTTACCCAGATGTGTATGTTATATAGTTACCTATATTTGACCCCAAGAAATACTCGAAATGTATCACGTTTTTTTCGGTCACAACTATAAACGCTATCTCCCAACTTATGGGGAGCATTATATCCATCCATGAATTCGGGGTGCAGTCTTCCCATATGTGCCATGGTCAACAGTTGGATTAGCTTAACCCATAACCTCCATAAACAGGAAAACATAATGGCCAAGATGAGGATTCCCAACAATGCTGGTATGATCACAATCGTATACCAATATGTTGATCATATTTTATTAATAAGACATATATATGTATATATATATATATATATAATATGTATAATATATGTATATCATACCTTGATTGCATATGATTGCCTCATTCAAGTGGAAAAAAAACAGCACCGCAATGATCAAGGACTTACATCCATGGACATAAGCCATGCAGCTCAGTTCCACAAACCACAAACCAACCAGCTACATCCTAAACCCAGTAACTATGTAACAAATTTTGAGCCAATTTTGTTGATATTGTAATATACAGTAAGCCCAACTACGAAGGTATTTAAACCAGACCCAAACTTTGTAAGACTATAAACCTCAACCTTAACTACATCCGTTCACACTTTGAAACAACCAGACCCAACCCAATCTAAAAAAAGGCAACCTGGTTTATACAGTGATGACCATTTATTAGTTATAACTGGTTATAACTGGGATTATACATTCTATAAATGGGGTTTTGTTAGTTGTTATAACTGGTAAATGGCCATAACTGTAATTGGTTGTACATAGCTTATCTATACCTCCGCAAATCAAAGGTGGCGTACCTGGCTCCTGTCACGTGCGAGGCAGTGAAAGCTTGGTGAGCATGGAGGTGTGGGTAAAAGCTGGGTCCAACAGTTTCAACATCTGGTTGGGGGTGACTGGAACCTGTATGAAATGGTGGATAATGGTGGTTAATGGTGGTTAATAGTGGTTAATAATGGTTAATTAATGAGATATCTGCTTGGGGGTGACTGGAACATGAATGGATTATTTTCCCATATTAATTGGAAATATCCCATTAAATCCCATTAATTCATTACTGGTTGGTGGTTTGGAACATGAATTTTATGACTTTCCATATATTGGGAATAGTCATCCCATTTGACTTTCATATGTTCCAGAGGGGTAGGTATATCACCAACCAGACATCCTTGATCCAACGTTCACCCGTTTCGTGTTTCGTGGTAGGATCCAACGTGGGTAAACTGGACATTTCTTGATAAACATCATTCAAAAACGTGGTGTTTTTCGGCGATTTTTCATGGTGGGGGTGGAGTTGTTTTTTTTTTTTGCGAGCTAAGATTGTGGCTAGTAAGGAATGCTATTACTCCCTCACATATTCCCATTATATTCTCATTATATTCCCATTTCATGGTAGTAAGCAATTTCATTTCTGAAATTATCCCTCACATTGGCCAGTGCTATCACCGGTGAGCGGTGGGATGGGAGTGTGAAGAGGAACCACAGCAACTTACCCTGGTCTTGACCATGCACTCTGAAAAAAAGGAGGTGCCCCCATTATTTACCCGGCCTGGTAAACATACCAAAAACTATTGAAAATGGCCATAGAAATAGTGAGTTTTCCCAGCTACAAAATGGTGATTTTCCATAGTTAGGTTAGTTTACCAGAGGGTAAAGATGTATCATAAGCCCAACAGCTATTGGAGTTATCTAAGCCCCAATTTTTAACGATTTCGAACTTGGGCACCACCTTGTAATTGTTGGCTTACACCCATTTTCTGATATTTTACATTCCCACCGTTAGGCTTGTCCAATCGCATGCACTCGGGCATTTGCTGTGCGAAAACCAGTATCAATCTTGCAATTGTAATTGTCAACACCTCAACTGCTCAGCGTTGTGCCTAGCACAAGAAACTGAAACAATGAGTCACACATGTGCGGGATATACCAGCATCAACTGTGCTCCAACTTTGAATTAGTATGAACTAGTGGTATGTGGGGTTTTCACTTCTTTTTTCAAGATGGTTGGGTATTAGTGGTATTTGGGGTTTCCAATTTTCAGTTTTCAGGTATTACCATTTGGTTATTTAACATAGCCATGGAAAATGGCCCATTTATAGATGGTTTACCTATTAAAAATGGTGATTTTCCATGGCTATGTTGAATAACCAGAGGGTAACCTTTTTTTTTGTAATTAAGGACGAGGTGACGAGGTAGGAATTGTTATAACTTGTGGATCAATTCAAACTATTATCATTATATTATTCATTGTTCCCATGATATCTGGAGAGGCCCGAGTCCTCAAAAGATTCAAGATCACAAAAAAGGAACCGCTGAAAAACTGGACTTTCACCACTCATTTATGGACATATTAGGGATGTTTTATGATTGTGTTTACCATGTGATTGACGTTGTATATATATATATATAATTATATATATATACACATACATATACATATATATATATATACATATATATATATATACATATATATATATACATATATATATATATATATCCACATATAATCCCATTCTTGTTAATAAAATTCACCATGTCACCATGGGGTCGAAAACGAGTCAGGATGGAGAAGCCGTTGAAGGAAATCCCACTGGCGACTTGGTGCGTTAGGGGTGACGGTCACTGCCCGGGGGAGGAGAGGCCATTTTTGGGGGGGGAAGAAGTTCCCCAAAAATGGTGAGACATTGTGACAATTGTGACATGTTCAAGTCTGAAATTGCGTTGACACTGAGAAGATACAGTAGTCTTGGGGAGGGGAGAATATTTCTAAGATTGGCATGATAAGGTCCCCTTTGGCAATAGTTTTCCTATGGCGCAGCTTTGGGAATGTGCGTTCCATCATTGGGGTTTCCTCATGAAGTAGAATGGGTAGAATCGGCTTTGCCGGCCCAAATCTTCAATCAATTGTCAAATAGTAGAGATAATATGAAATAACAATGAACATCTCCTGTGGATAGAATCTGGTTGGTGGTTTGGAACATGTTGATTATTTTTTCCATAATATATATGGGATAATCCTTCCCATTGACGAACTCATATTTTTCAGAGGGGTAGGTATACCACCAACCAGAAATGATATGTTGATATATTAATCCATGTATGGGAGAATTGTCGTCACGTTTGTAAGTGGGTTGATGAAATTCCACGGGTTGATGAATTATTATGTATATTGAATTAACAACTAGTAAATTAACACCTGATGTTATGTAAATTGACATTAGGGTTGTTTTATGTACATTATGTTAGAAAAAACACAAAACAATAGTGCCCATACAAAAAAGAGACAGATGTATCATATATACACCATACTTAGACATATGATTGTTTATGATACATATGTCTCTATAATATCCATCAGCGTTACCAACAAACATCAGAACTAACACCACCTTGTGGCTAGCTGTGTGCAAGGATGGTTAAAGTCCCTATGAAGTGGCTGAAGTGGCTTTAACATATTTTTTAAAACTATGCCACAAAAATTACAACATCTTATGGTGTTGAACAACAACACAAGGTACTTCACTGGTTTTCCGGATCTTCCCCATTTTCTATGCTTCATGGTTGAACCCATATGATTTTTGTTAGACCCGGATATTTGTCCCCATCTTTTGTGCGTATGACCTCCCCTTGATTGGAGAAAAAATATCTCATTTTGTAGACGAATATCCCTCCCGTTGTTGTTTGCAATCCACATATCCCATATAATTCCCATATTGTAGAAGAATATCCCATTGAGAATCACTATCCCGTTTATATGCCATGAAATGCCAATTGAAACCACCATTTTTCCAGGTCCTTATGCCTTGGGTGATTCCAGTGAAGAGGAAGCAGGCGTGCACCCTTGTGGTTGGGTAATGTTTAACCATCAAACATGGTGGATTCAGTCATGACTAATGGTGGTATACTGGGGATATATATATATATATATACACATGTAATATATATATATATATATCATGTATAATATATATATATACATGGAATATGGTGGACGTATGATGATTGAAGCACGAATCAAGGGTGTTAATGGGATTTTTTCAAAAGAGACTCAGTTTACACACCATCGTGGGAATGGGATATTATGGAGATGAAATGGTGCCTACTTAGCCAAAGTGGTTTGGCGAAGTCGTGAATTTTCGAGCGGTTGTTTGGTCGATGATATACCCTCTGGTTCTGTCAAAATAGCGACTGAATATGGCCATTTATAGTGGATTTACCCAGCTAGAAAATGGTGGATCTTTCCATAGTTATGTAACAGTTTACCAGAGGGTATTCGTACAGAAAGATGGAATCAAAAACCAACTTGTACCCGCTGGTAAACTGTTCATAACTATGGAAAGAAATCACCATAGAAATAGTGAGTTTTTCCATGAAACATGGTGGATCTTTCCATATAAATCACCATTTTCCCATGGTTTTCCCATGGTTTTCCTGTTAAAAATGGTGGATCTTTCCATCGTTTTTTGTTAACGTTTACCAGGCCGGGTAAATGGGCTATGCTGGACGTACCCAGAAATCTGATTCCTCGCTGGAATAGGTTCGCCACGATGGTGCAGCAGTTATGGCCAGAAATACCAGTTATAACTACTAAGAAGTCACCCCATGCAAATAGAATGTTTTTCATCCCAGTGAAATAACCAGTTATAACTGTTATAAATGGTTGATCATCTGGTTATTAACCAGTTACATAGAATGTTTTTCATCTCAGTTATAACCAGTTATAACAAATAATAGATGGCCCATAGAAATTGATGGTTTACCTATTAAACATGGTGATTTTTCATGGCTATGTTAAATAACCAGATGGTACATGTCGGCAATCGCATGTTTTGCCGAGAGCATTGGACCACGGCATCAGAAAATAAAGTATTAATGTGTTAACGTGGGACATTTTTGGGGATCAAACACACCAAATACCCTCTGGTAAACTAACTTAGCTATTGAAAATTGCCATAGAAATAGTTGATTTACCCATGAAAAATGGTGGATCTTTCCATAGTTATCTAACAGTTTACCAGAGAGTAAAGATTCATTTTTCTATGGTTTTCCCATGGTTTTCCCATGGTTTTCCCATTAAAACCTCCATTTTCCTATGGTTTTCCTATGAACAAGTTAGGAAACTTCAATCCGGGCCTCAATCCCAGGATTCCATCTGGGTTCTCTGGAAAACTCAGGCACCGCAGTGCAAGCCTTTGCCGTCGCAAAGCAACTGGGCATTTGTTGGGCTTGTTGGGCTGCGGTTGGGTCAGACTATTAGAGGTTGAAAATCATATCTATATATCTACCATAAACCATAGTTAAACCACTTATAAGGCAACCATAAACCACCAACCATTGTTAATTAACCATTATTAACCATTGTGAACCACTGCCTAAAGATACAAGGTGCTGTTGGTTTAGTTAAATTTATGGTGGTTCACAACTAACATAACTCGGGGTTTATAAACCAACAAAGATCACTGGAGCGTAACCAAAGGTATCCCTCCAAAACTATGATGGTCCCAAAGTCATAGGACCCCTAGGACTGCTGGTCAAATCGACTAAAGCATAGGCTGAAGAGTTTGTGGAACCTACCAATTTACCTTGTTAACTAACATAGATGTGGAACACACATGCTTTTATGTTGGTTTACCCATGAGTATCACATATGAGACGCATGTGTTTTTGTTGGTTCTTGCCAGATTGAAGCTTGGTCATGATTGCAGAGCAGCCATGCTGTGCTTTAGCAGTCCTTGGTGTAACCTGCAAGATGAAACGAGACATGTTGGGCAGTGAGAAAAGACCGCCATTTCCGACAACCCAACCTGCAACATGGAGGACGCCCCAAAAACAGATGGATGAGTTTGAAAAGTTGGAGGACTTGGGGATGTAATTGTGTAAATTAGCTGTGAAATGGTTGCTTATATCCACACTTTATTAGTAAGTTATTTATATAGTATAAAACATCCATATTTTTTCAGCGCCTGGAATTTTTGACTGTGTTTGTCTTTCTAGATCTGTCTGTCTGTCGTCATTTTAAGCCATGGTGTATCCATGGTGTATCGCAGGTTACAAGACAGCCAAATTCGGATGGCCAAATTCCTGCACCCGTTGGAAACTATAGGAACCTATCTGGGTAAATTATAACGACCTCAGTGCGACCTCACTGGGAATGATGGTTAGTAAGGGAAATCATCCCAATATGGCCTTAATTCAGATTAGTGAAATATTATAATTTACCCAGAACTATGAAACACTAGAATTATAATGCGGCTATTGGATTTTACCATGTAAATCCATATTAAATAAATTATAGTTACCCCAGGATGTATATACTATCGATATTACTCAACTATAGGTAACTATATGACTATCATATGTATGAATATATATATATATATATAGGTAATTTACCATATTATAACAAACCACAATTGTTATATATGGGCTTATGGGCTTATAATTTTCCATATTATAATTTGCCATTATAAACCATATCTATAATATATATATATATATATGTATGTTTACTAATGGATTTATAATGGGCTTATCCATTGTGTATTGCTCTGATGTTTGTTCCATCTTCCCCAGAAAAAGGTCCGCGGCAGCTTCATAAGGAGGTGCGGCGGTGCGGCAGCTTCGGGGCCGTGCCGGAGATCTTCGTTGCATACCTGGGAAAGGTACAATAATCTGGGTAAATTATAACGACCTCAGTGTTTCGTTAGTAAGGGAAATCATCCCAATATGGCCTTAATTCAGATTAGTGAAATATTATAATTTATCCAGAATAATGGGAACTTATAATGGGAATATACCCTCTGGTAATTTAACATAGCTATTGAAAATGGTGATTTATAGTGGATTTTCCCATTGAAAATGGTGGATCTTTCCATAGTTATGTAACAGTTTACCAGAGGGTAACGGGAATATAATGGGAATATAATGGGAATATTCATATACAAGATATGTGCGATAAGAAGATTGGAACTATAATGGGAATATTCATGGGATTGTAATACCAGAGAATGAGATGATGATTACTATCCAGTTGTGAAAATTTGAATATCATTGGAAAATAAAAGGAATTTAATGAAATAAGATTGGGAAAATGAGATACAAACCCACAAAAAAAAACGGGGAGTGGTAAGACGCGAGCCCTTCGCCGTTCGGAGCTATGGGTAGTGCCAACTCCAGATTTTGCTAAACCATGGTTTATTAATTGTGGGGGTACCCTCCAAATAGTCACAATATGATACGAATTTTTATGGTACCCTCCCAATTCAACAACCGTTTACGGGGTTTATTCATCCAGGGTTGACATGATCTACCCTCTGGTAATTTAACAGTTTGCTATTGAAAATAGCCATTGAAATAGTTGATTTACCCAGCTAGACAATGGTGGATCTTTCCATAGTTATGTAACAGTTCACCAGAGGGTATATTCCCTAGCCATGGTTGGAGCCAACCAAGGAGCAACGTTGTTGAGAGTTTCCCAATTTCCCAATGACATGATAGTTTCATGGGATACTGTAATTCATGAAAATTCCTGGGGTTTATGGATTGATACAGTGATGACCATTTATTAGTTAGAACTGGTTATAACTGGGATGAAAATCATTCTATAAATG